TGGGGGTCATAGCTGGGGAGAGAAAGGGAAAGTGGGGTCATTGCTGGGAGGGAAAGAGGGGAGGGGGGTCATAGCTGGGGAGAGAAAGGGAAAGTGGGGTCATTGCTGGGAGGGAAAGAGGGGAGGGGGGTCATAGCTGGGGAGAGAAAGGGAAAGTGGGGTCATTGCTGGGAGGGAAAGAGGGGAGGGGGGTCATAGCTGGGGAGAGAAAGGGAAAGTGGGGTCATTGCTGGGAGGGAAAGAGGGGAGGGGGGTCATAGCTGGGGAGAGAAAGGGAAAGTGGGGTCATTGCTGGGAGGGAAAGAGGGGAGGGGGGTCATAGCTGGGGAGAAAAAGGGAAAGTGGGGTCATTGCTGGGAGGGAAAGAGGGGAGGGGTCATAGCTGGGGAGAGAAAGGGAAAGTGGGGTCATTGCTGGGGGGGAAGAGTGGAGGGGGTCATAGCTGGGTGGAGAAAGGGGAAGTGGGGTCATTGCTGGGGGGAAGGGGAGAGGGGTCATAGTTGAGGAGAAAAGGGGGAAGTGGGATCATTGCTGGGGAGAGAGATGGTAGGGGAGTCATAGCTGGGCAGAAAGAGGGGAGGGGGTCATAGCTGAGGGGAGGGAGGTTATAGCTGGGGAGAGAGAGGGAAGGGGAGGTGGATTCAAGAGCGCGCATTATCACCCCTTTTTCAAGAAGTGATAAATCACAGTCAGTAATTTGGCTTCCCCTACCCCTCACAGCTTTATTAGAAATGCTGTCGAGTCCGTGCTTTGTCAGACCAAGATACAGTAAAGTGTTTTTGGCTTAATGTGTAGTTATACCCGGTATTAATGGTCAATAAAAACCGCTGACGAATATCTTCCTTTGAATTGACTATCATTGCAGGCGCAGAATCTAAACCTAAGTGATTTTAGTAAACAAGGATCCAAGAGACACTCCACTCTCATGTAGGGAATAGTATAGTTAGTGTATTAAAGCTATTCGCTAAATTATTGTTTGGACGCACTCTAGTAGGTACTGACTATTAGATAACTGTTTTTCAAAGATCAATCCAAGAACCTAGTATCCAACCTCGTTTCCAGGGTCTCTCGCCTTCCTGCTCTATGGGGCGGGAAGAGGAGAGACCCTGGGAACGAGGTTACCTAGTATGTTGGTCAAAAGCTATTATAAAAGACGCATTCAATATTGTGCCCAGACGCTCAAATGAAATATGTATTACAACTGTTGTAAACATTTCTCGCGCAAGAGGTTTGGTGTTAGGGTTAGGTTGACGATGTTTGTTCATGTGTTTTGCTTCTAGAACGAACAGCGAGAATGAAACTTTTACCCGTGTTCGCCGAGACCCTAACGGGCACAAACTTCCTATGTCACCCAGCGGTAAGATTCTATGCTCTGTTTACTTACGATCAAGCGCTCTTTTTCTTTTGAGTGAGAGCTTAAGTTCAACCTAAAAACGAACGCCTGATCGCAGAGTACGTTTTGTCAATTGCATATTTCCTTTCTTAAAAGGAAATATAAACATTTATAACATAACCAAAGGAAAGCACACACTCTGATTGATCAATTCAGTGTCCAGAATTTGATTTTACGCTGATGACGCGGACAAATGCAAAGACTAGTTTCTGCGCGCTTGTTTTTGTGATCACGTAAGATTTGTCAAATAAAAGGAACTTTATGGGTACAATGTAGCAATATTATGTTATGAAACAAATGGTATGCTGTGGTTTTTATCCATTTGTTCATGTTGATGCGTTAATTGATAAAACGAGAGCTTAATTACAGATACGTCAATTTTTAAACTTAATTCTCAGTTGCCATCAAAAACTACGGGGATAAGATGTCCACATTCGAGCAGTCAGAAATACTAGATTTCCCAGACGTTTGGTTTCTTGGTTTGGAGGCGAAGAAGATCGAAGGTGTACCAGGCGCTCCGCAGAATAACGGTAAGCCTTTCACAATGCTCCTTAAAATGGCATTCCGTCGAAAGTGCAGAGTGTGATTCACGCCGTATAGAATCTTCGGATTTGAGCGTTTCGCAACCTGAGTAATGAGTTTGTATGAACAGAAAAAAAAATCATTTTAACAATGGAGGGGACACCTCAGGTCCCTTCCTGCTCCCCCCCAACGATAGCTAATCCCAAGCACAAAACACCAGGTTCTACCCACATAGCATCCATAATAGCATACTGCATAATGTAACCAAGCCATTGAAACACTTAGATAAGAAATAACGAAACAAACCAACGAGTGAAGCTCTGGTGAACTCGTGGATATACTGCGCAGAATGTAATCAAAACATACAATGCTTGCGCTAAAAGCAAGTGGTCATTCCCGCAAGAGTCTTCCCCAATTGATACGATAACAATTGGTCCGTCCTCTTTAGTGATGCATGCTTTACCTAGAGCCGTGCTAACGCCACGGAATTTGCCGATTGAATCCCCACATCACTTGTTCCCGTGCTAAGCAAATCCACGAGTTAAGACGAGCCACGCCACAAGACGAAAAAAATCTTTCTATATTTCTGTACCGAGCTCAAAACTTACCGTTTTTCTTGTTCTTTACAAAACGTGACGCTATCGACATTGCCGATCCCAGCAGTATGCAGGACGCGTGTTATAAGTGAACTTCCTAATGGGCCTTGCTCACCATAGAGTCTTTGTGGCTCGGTGGTAGACAGGGTTCGTGCTACTCCTTAAACTCCTTGAAAACTCCTAAGAAATAAATTAAATAAAAATTCTTAAAAACTCCTTGAATTTTTTACTTAAATACGCATTAAATGTGAAAAAATATATTGGAAACAATAAAAGAGAAAAAATATAGAATGTTATCTGGTTCAAGAGCGCCTTGGGGAAAAAAAATGTGCCGCCATTATTGCAAACAAACGCTTTTTTCATAGCAAAAATGACTCCTTTGAAGTCAAATTTAAGTCCTTAAATACTCCTTAAAAAGTCCTTAAATTTAACTCTGAAATTCCTGCACGAACCCTGGGTAGAGTATCGGAGAGCGGAATCCGAAGGACTGAGCTTAGATAGATAGATAGTTTATTAGAATATGGAACATGGCAGTCCGTAGACTGAATTGCGTTACAATTACTTAGAACTAGGAATAAATGAATTCCAAATACAAATTGAAATTATAATAAAACCGTAAATGCGATTCCTCATGAGGACTCTTCCTTCGATTCCTCATGGGTACTCCTCCTTCGATTCCTCATGGGGACTCCTCCTTCGATTCCTCATGGGGACTCCTCCTTCGATTCCTCATGGGGACTCCTCCTTCGATTCCTCATGGGGACTCCTCCTTCGATTCCTCATGGGGACTCCTCCTTCGATTCCTCATGGGGACTCCTCCTTCGATTCCTCATGGGGACTCCTCCTTCGATTCCTCATGGGGACTCCTCCTTCGATTCCTCATGGGGACTCCTCCTTCGATTCCTCATGGGGACTCCTCCTTCGATTGCTCATGGGGACTCCTCCTTTGATTCCTCATGGGGACTCCTCCTTCGATTGCTCATGGGGACTCCTCCTTTGATTCCTCATGGGGACTCCTACTTCGATTCCTCCATCGATTGCTCATGGGGACTCCTCCTTCGATTCCTCATGGAGACTCAGAAGTTTTTCTTTGTCCCACGCTCTTGACAAGACGAAAAATGAACATCTTTTCTATACTGGCCGCCGGATAGTTGGGAAGATTAAGGCGGATTTTATCTGTGAAAACTATTTTCTTAGGTTACGATGACGAGAGTGGCAGTTACCTGAAAGCCTTACACGATCACCTTGTGTACAGATATGAAGTGCTTGAGGTCCTGAATATCTTCCTTTGAATTGACTATCATTGNCGATTCCTCATGGGGACTCCTCCTTCGATTCCTCATGGGGACTCCTCCTTCGATTCCTCATGGGGACTCCTCCTTCGATTCCTCATGGGGACTCCTCCTTCGATTCCTCATGGGGACTCCTCCTTCGATTGCTCATGGGGACTCCTCCTTTGATTCCTCATGGGGACTCCTCCTTCGATTGCTCATGGGGACTCCTCCTTTGATTCCTCATGGGGACTCCTACTTCGATTCCTCCATCGATTGCTCATGGGGACTCCTCCTTCGATTCCTCATGGAGACTCAGAAGTTTTTCTTTGTCCCACGCTCTTGACAAGACGAAAAATGAACATCTTTTCTATACCGGCCGCCGGATAGTTGGGAAGATTAAGGCGGATTTTATCTGTGAAAACTATTTCTTAGGTTACGATGACGAGAGTGGCAGTTACCTGAAAGCCTTACACGATCACCTTGTGTACAGATATGAAGTGCTTGAGGTCCTGGGGAAAGGTTCCTTTGGTCAGGTGGTGAAAGCCTTGGATCACAAGACAGGACAACACGTTGCTGTTAAAATAATACGCAATAAGAAGAGGTATGACAGTCAAAGAAGCATTTGTTTGATACCACTCGTTTTCCCGCCCTTTTGTGCTTTTGCCGCTGAGGACTGCAGGCTTAGGTACTTTTTTTTTGTGTGTGTTTTTTTAAAGTGTTAACCATCATCACATATCCTACCTTTTTGTAATCTAGCAGCCGCCCTTGTCAAGAAAACCCACATTCCTTTAGTCATTATGAGCACTTCTGTGTTTTGCAGATTTCACCAACAAGCTCTAGTTGAGGTTAAAATTCTGGAACACTTGCTTAAAAAGGTCAGTATGATCACGGAACGGATCTTCGTCAATCTGCCAAGTTAAAAACTAAAATTACGCATTAGAAACTTGAAACCATTCATTTTTCCCACTTTGTTTTCCATTTTTTTTTTTCGCAGGATAAAGAAAACAACTACAATCTTATACACATGATAGACTATTTCTACTTTAGGTAAGTGCGCGTGCAGCTCTTTCATACCTGAGGCTGATTTCATTCTCGACTGAGAGGCGTCTTCCCGTCCTCGTATCATTTTTAGATCTAAAATATCAATTCTCTACACTGCTGGCCATACATATCGTATAATTTGAGCTGTGAGAATTTGATAGTTTATAAAGCACTATCCCCCAGTTGATATATTTTTTTCTCCTCACCTGTCAGGTTGAGTAGGCATGAATATTTTAAGGAGAAATTGATTTTGGTTTTTGAAGTGGAGTAGCAATGCCCCCTTATTATTTCTGAGGAGAGCTGGGGTGGTGTGGGGCTAGGACTCGGCTCGGCTCGCCTCGGCTCGCCTCGGCTCGCCTCGGGTGAGGCTCGAGTGGGGTGAGGCACTTGGCCCGAAATTTTTTTTACCTTTCTAAAATAGTGACTTGTTTTTCTTTTTAGGAATCATTTGTGCATTAGCTTTGAACTCATGGGGTAAGTTTCTAGTTTCAGTAACCTTTGATTTGTTTCCTCGTTCTGGCTCAGAATTACGGCCTACTTCTAATTTGGAAACAGCGCGAACCCTGTAACCGTGCGATGTGAATTAAGCCGTAGCGTTGACGTTCTACGTTTAAGCCAGGTTCAGTCTCTTGGTACATATTTAACTTCTCGCTTGACCGATGTACTTTGTAAATCAATTTTGCAGAATGAATTTATATGAATTGATAAAGAAAAACAATTTCCAAGGATTTAGTCTTGCTTTGATAAGAAGGTGAGCTATATTTATCACTGCTACAATGAATATATGAAGTTCATATATTTTGAACTGCGGTTGTAGATACGTATGATGCACGATCCTCGCAGTAGAGA